TTTTAGGACTCGTTGAGTTACCAGATCAGATTTGCTAGTGCGAAGGGAAGTGATAGGAAATAAGGCTGGCGAGGCGGAGAGCCAGGTGAGAGCTCAATGGCGGTTCCTGTGGCAGCGCTGAGTTTCTGTGACTCTTTGGAGCAGAGCAGCAGTGCGATCAGAAGAGCACTTTAGGAAGAATATTTTGGCAGCAGGGGCTGGATTGGCATGGCGAGGTTCAGGAAGACCAGGTCAGAGGTGGAAACGGAAGGGCAGGTGAGAAGAGGTTAGGATTTGAGCTAGAGTTCTGGGAGGGGAGATGCAGACCAGCTGGTTGGACCCCTTCACACCATGGTGCCCTTGTGGAGCTGTCTCTCCCCCTCCCCTGCCCACCCAGGGACCCCATCAGCTTTGCCTTCCAAATGTTCTCCCCCCCTCAGTCCCAGACACACGGTCCCTTAGCCTCTTGGTATGCCTCCTCGGTGGAATTTGAGACACATTTTGTAAGTCCCTTGCTTCCCTGTGTCCCCGACTGGCCTGGGGGTTCCATTTTATCACGTTTATCTTTGTGTCTTTGGCACCTAGCACATGCCTGGCGCACAGGATGTGCCCAGTTAGTGCTCCTGAGTGAGTGGAGGTAGCTGGGCTTTGAGTGGAAGTGAGAGGGTGGGCCACAGCGAGGCTGGAGGAGGGAAGGGGGGGGTCCTTGAGACCGTGGTAGCCTGGGTGTGGGGGGCAAGCAGGGCAGTTATGTGACATCGTCCGACAGGCAGCTGAGTGCAGTTCTGGAGCTCAGGGGGATGCTTTGCTTAGACATACAAATTCGGGGGCTGACTTCGTCCAAGCACTTGTTGAAGTCAAGGAGAATATAGAAGTTTGAAAGGCCATGAGGAGTAATTGGGTTGGGAGAAGGAAAGAGGTGCCATGGAAGGACACGGGTCCGATGACTCGACTTTACAGGCAAGTTGACATCCTGTTGCAGTGCCTGTACCGTACAGATTAGTCAGGAGGAACCCAGAGACAGGCTGCACTGGTTGAGCCTCATTGTCATGTGCAGAATTGAGGTGCTCTTGAGCTAAGCCAGCCTCACTGTAGGTTTGGCTTCTGTCACAGTACTTGTAGCGGAATGTTGCTGTGGGGATCATGCCAGGTAGCAGTGCAGGGGTGTCTCTAACGACCTGTGCGTCAGCAGCGGCTCACAGATGTGATCGCTGAGGCTCAGAACATGCCGGGGCAAGAGTTCTAGCTGGTTTATTTCCTTCCTCAGCTGTGTGGGGTTTTCACATCCCATCATTATTCAGGAAAACCATCTTACGCAGTGGTACAAAGACAGAGGAAAGTTCTTTGTAGAGTTACTTCATAGGGAAGAGTGAAAATAGAGCAGTAGATGTAGTTTTGTTGTCAGTAGGTTACCTTGCAGTATGTCAGGGGAAAGCTTTTCAACGCATTTCTCATGGAATTGTGAGCAACGTTGTTCATTGTACCAAAGAGTGCATGTGAAGAGCAGATGTTTGAATAGTTGTTATATTACAAGCAGTGTCATAGTTAATAAAAGACTTGATTTGAAAGAAACATTATCTCCAGGGTTAGCTAATGGCACCTTGAGGTTATATTCATACCCATAGCCCAGGGCTGAGGTTGGCAGAGGAACAGTAAGTGCTAATTGGTGTTTGCCATCAGACAGCGGCTTTCATTAATTGAGCACAGCTGAGGTAGGGTAAGTTTATTCATTTACTCGACCTTTATGGAACACCTTGCTGGAACACCTTGCGTGTGGGGCGCGGTGTGGGGCGCGGGGTGTGAAACCGCCCAGCCACAGAGTTTTCATCTTTTAGGATCTCGCAGGCATGCAAAAGCCAGTTTCAGTGTATGCGTGAGGACACGCCCTAGCGGGAGGGAGACGTGGTGAACCTTTGCAGGGCTCAGGGAGATCCTTGGGAATGTTTCCTGGAGGAGATGACTCATGAGCTATGATTGGAAGGGTGAGTTAACCAGGTAATGAGGGAGAAGGGCTTCCAGGCATGGGGCTGGGCTGCATGAACAGAGGCACAGAGGAAAGAAGCAGAGATTGTGTGCACAGGAGTACTGCAGGGCTTGCTGGAGCGGCCAGGGCAGGGCGCGGGGGGAACGAGGCCGGAGAGGCGGGCAGAAACCAGACAGCCCCATGTTTCCTGAGAAAGCTTGGGCTTCACTCTCCAGTCAGAGGGAGCCACGGGGGGATTTTAAACCAGGGAGTGGTGTAGTCATACTTGGCGATTTATGTAGATGATTCAGGCAGCCAGGAGAGGATGGATTTGAGGGGGTAAGACCAGAAAGCGGGGAGATCAGTTAGAAGCTGAAAGAGGATTGAGAAAAAAGATTTTCAGGCAGCCAGACCCTTTGACTCGGAGGCTTACACCGGACTCATTGCACAGCCTGCTGAGTCTTGCTTTGCATGCAATTCAGATAACAACATGCTTGGTCCAATGGCTAATCTGTCAGTGGCAGATTTTTTAAAGGGTGTAGGGAAAAACTAATAGAGCCAATTACACCATCCAGAAATAAATGAAGCTGCACAGAAAATGTTAAGCATAGGATTTGGGTTGTTAGAAGACTTCGGACACGGATTAACCTTTCTAAATATTGGTTTCCTCATCTTTAAAAGGGGAGAATTAAAATACCGTCCTTATGAGACTTTGGAGGATTAAATAAGATAATGTTTGTAAACTGTGGAACACAGTGCGTGACCATGATAAATGCCAGTAAGTGACGCTGTGGCGGCTGTGAATGAAGTGGCTGAGGCTGGTTTAGGGTAGTGCTTCCCTAATTCTGGGATTGTTAATGGCGATTACAGAAAGAGGGCTCTGTGGGCAAGAAATCTGGGGAATCTGCCGAAATAAGAGGGGTTTTGTTTTGCTTTGCTTTGTTTGGTTTGGTTCTTACAGCTAGTGTGTGTTGTAGTATTTCCCACACTTACTCCATCGCAGAACTCAGTCTGGTGGGGCTAGGTTCCCTGGAGCACACTTGGGCAAATGCTTATTTAAGGACATAAAGGTATCCATCTGCTTCCATGGCCCAGCGATATTGGTTTATCATAGACCCACTGTAGTTACTTGATATTGATGATTCTGTCTCATCAGAGGCTGTCCTTTGTGCTTTCATGTACTCTGTTTAAGAAGGCAAGGAAGGAGACTTCCCTGGTGATGCAGTGGTTAAGAATCCGCCTGCCAATGCAGGGGACGCGGGTTTGAGCCCTGGTCTGGGAAGATCCCACATGCCTGCGCACCTAGAGCCTATGCTCCGCAACAAGAGAAGCCACAGCAATTAGAAGCCCAGGCACCGCAACTAGAGAAAGCCTGTGCACAGCAATGAAGACTCAGTGCAGCCAAAAATAAATTAATTAATTAGTTAAAAAAAAAAATAAAGCAAGGAAGTATATTTAAGATTTCTTAAAAAAAAAGATTTAAGATTTCTGATCCCAATTGATCAAACCTTTAAAAAATGACATTTTTAACATGTTTATTATAGAAAAATTTAAAAATACAACTGTAAAGAAGAAAAATATAATCACATGTAAGACCACCGCTCAGATAAACACTGTTGAACATTTTATACATTTTCTTTACGTGTTTTCTACCACTAGGATCATTCTGCATGTAGAGTTTTTGACTTGTTTTTAATCTAAATTTATGCTCTGGGCATTTTCTTATTTTTTGTCAGAAGATCCTTACATGACATGATTTTTAGTGGCTTATGGTATTTTATCATGTGGGTATGCCACAATTTATGTGACTAGTCCTTTATTACTGGATATTTAGGTACTGGGTTTTTTGGCTTTCATAAATTATATTGCGGTTAACATCTTTGAGCATAAATCTGTTAAAATATCAACACTTAATTTTTTTTGAAAATGAGTCAGTCTTAAGTATCTAGGCAATTATTTTAGTTAGAACATCTTATTCCCTACATCACTTATAATTGCAGTTTTTTTGTTGTGAAATTTAAGTAGAATAATTTAGAGTAACTCATTCTCCTTTGACTAATCCCTTTCTCTACCCACAGACTAAAAAAAAAAAAAAATCTCGTTATTAGAATAGCATTTTCTCATACTGAATAATTTCAGTCATGTGAGAGTAAACTTTTATCAAACTGAATTCTTGAGTCAGGTGTTGGAAAGTTCATGTCATGACGTATTTTAAATGTAAAAGCAAAATTGTCAAAAGATGTTGTCTTGATATACATCTGGGATCTACCTGGATAGGCATTTTCTTATCTGCACCTGTGTAAAGACTCTCCCAGAAAATTCTCATACATGCTTTTCTTGTAGTTTGTGGTGAAGAGGGGAAAACCCCAAAGCTCTCACTAAGCAAGTGAACGCTTTGGTTGGTTGTCTTGGCAAGAAACTACTAATAAGAAAAGCAAAGTTTAGAAATTCTGTCTTCTGTAGTCTGCTTTCTTTTGGGGAGGGGGGAGGGATCTGGATTTTTAAATTACGGTGGAAGCTATTAATTGACCTCCCTCTACTTAACTAAAGTGTTCCAGTAATTGGCATTCTCCATGCCCTTCATCAAATATAACGATTGATGCTCCCCCCCCCCCCCGCCGGCCAATCATGATTAGATGCCCGGGCATTTCTGCTCCCACGCCACAGTTGCGTGATTACCGAGAGTCAAGTGTGTTTTCTCTCAGACCTGTTCATTCTGATATATATTTTTTAAATTTTTGAAATTTATTTATTTATAATTTATTTATGGCTGCGTTGGGTCTTCGTTGCTGCGTGCAAGCTTTCTCTAGTTCCAGTGGGTGGGGGCTACTCTTCGTCGTGGTGTGCAGGCTTCTCGTTGCGATGGCTTCTCTTGTGTGGAGCACGGGCTCTAGGCGTGCGGGCTTTAGTAGTTGTGGCGCACGGGCTCAGTAGTTGTGGCTGACGGGCTCTAGAGCACAGGCTCAGTAGTTGTGGCGTACAGGCTAAGGTGCTCCGCGGCATGTGGGATATTCCCAGACTGGGGCTCGAACCCATGTCCCCTGCATTGGCAGGCAGATTCTTAACCACTGCGCCACCAGGGAAGTCCCTCATTCTGATTTTGTTACAGTAATTACATGATTTCATTAAGTACTATGGCAACCGAGGAACCGTGCGTGAAAAGAGAGAGTGAAAACTGTAAGCTGAGTGCTTTGGAAAGAGTTACTATAAGGTGATTCACTAGGGAAAAAAAGCTTGCTAGTATTCCAGAAGGATTCTGCTCTCATCTTGCTTGTCCAGTGTCTTCAGGTTCCCCACATGAGAGGGTGTGGTCTAGGCAAAGAACTTCTGGAAATCAAGCTAGTGGACCCTTTCTCTAAGAAAGGACCTTTGCTTTAAATGAAAAAAATGGATAGGTCTTTAAAATTCTATGTGTTTAGTGAGTTACTGCTTTAACCAAACTGCTCAGTTAACCAGCAGCTGACTGGTTCTGATTATATGAAGTGAGGGCTTCTCTGTGTCCTGGCTTACCTGCTGTGAGATTCTGATTCTGTAGGACTAGGCTGGGGCCAGGTGTGACAAGCCCCTTGCTTTTAGGAGATGAGGGACAGAGGCAGGTGACATCGTGTTCAGTTTGGGCCCCATCCTGCCTTCTGCTCCTCATCCCTTCTTCCACGCAGAGTCCCCAGGAGTTACAAGGCCAGTGATACTAGGAAGGTAACATTTATTATCCACACCACTATCCACACAAGTCCAGGAAGTGGGACAGATCTTGTTTTTTCTACCCCCCCCCCCGCCCCCGCACTGAATATTAGGAAATACGTCTTCTAGGAAAAAAAATAAAAATACAACGGAGCACCCTGGTATGTTGTGCCTGCCAGAAGTAGAAAACAATCAAATCCTGTGTAGCTGAGACCACTTCTTCCCTGGGGCGAGTCCGTTTATTTTCAAGCCTAGCTTTTTGCATTTCCTGTGGTCAGTTGCACTTACGGTGAATAACGTACTAATTTTTAAGATGGAGTCAGCTCCATATGGAAGGGATTGGTCGAGTGTCTGCTACTTTCTGAGGACAGCAAGTTTCTCTCAACAAGAAGGATTTTGATATCTGCGATCAGAAGTAGCAGTCTTTATTAATCTAATATGTTCTGTTGAGTGGTTGTTTCAGTGGAACGTTTGATAAGCAGCTGGCAAATTTACTTTCCCGAGTAGGCTGTAGCCTTGGAGATGGTTTCGCACAGCCCACGAGATTGTCGTATTTTAGAACAGTTTCATAATGTTCTACAGTTCTTTCACTGGATTTTTTGTATTTTCCTATCCTTAATTTTTTTAACATGTTAAACAGTCCAACTCAGCAACTGTTAAGTTTTCTCATAGAAACTCAGGGAACATTTGGATTGAATCAAGCCACACTGGGTTGTGTTTACAGGTCACCTCTGGGATATTATAGGCTTAGATTACAGACTCCACCTGAAAGCCCGCCTTCAAATGGAAGACTCTGGTGAAATAAGTGCATCACTGGGAAGGTCTTTTCACTGAATGGAAGATGAATTTGGGTTTTCTGATAACCTAACCTTTAGTATTAAAGCCCAAACTCAAATTGCATGTGACTTTGGTGAAATCTACTGTAAAATTAATTGGTGAGCTAGATCAGGTGTAGCACAACAAAAGGAAACGAGGTTAACCTGGCTGAATGCGTGCCAACCTTTTTATCACCTAATCCATAAGCCTGCTATGTTTAAAGTCTGAATGCAACCTGAACTTCTCTAGTGGAAAGTAAAAGGCTAAGATTTCTTTCATTCTGTATCTTTGTATTATATATAACTTTCTATTTAATTTTATTTGGAGAGGAAAGTATCAAAATCAAAATGAATCTCCCACCAAAAGGAACCAGTGTTTCTCTGAGAAGGACCCACCTGAGTTAGGGGCAGCAAATGTACAGATTGGTCTGGGACATCTTGTTTTACCAGAGAGCAGGGCAGCTGTCAAACCTCTGGGGTATGTCAGCCTGAGAGCCAGCTCAAAGTGTCTCCCACTGGCCACGGACAGTTTGAGCATTAGGAAGATTAATGACTACAGCTGATTAAAAATCTGTTACTTAATAATGACACCTCCAGAAAAAGCTTATTGGTCGTTTTTGGAGGTTGCTTGAGCACTAACTCAATCTTCTAAAAGTTGGCTTTAAAAGTGGAGGGGTGGCGAAATCAAACATTCATCCTGCTTTCCCTGTGTAAATTATTTCCGATACTCAAACAGACGAGGCAGAATGCTCAGAGGAATTCAAGCCAATACATACAAAAGATGAAATTAAAGAACTTTTAGTAAGTGTAGTTACAGCATTGTAGTTGAAGTTATGAAGTTCTTGCCCATTAAAGATACATATTAAAGTTTTTACGGGTGAAATGATATTATGCCGAGATTTGCTTTAAAATACTTCCCCCCCAAAAGTGGGGCGTACAGAAGAAACAAGACTGGCAAATGTCGCTAATGGCTGAACCTGGGAGAAGGGCGCACGGGGATTCATTATACTTACCTCTGCTTTTGCTTTGTGTTTGAAATATCCTAATAAAAGGGTAAATGAGAGGCATAAATAGAAATGAAATTTAGGTGATTACTGGAACTTGAAAATAGAGAAGTGGTGGTAGACTGGGTTTTGTGTAGTGTAGGGTAGGTTCTGTGGCATAATTCGTGGTGTAATCCTGTAGAAAACATGCCTGGAGACAGAATGCCCTAACTCTTAATGTCATACCTCTGGAGTTACTTCCTGGCACTTGTGACTTTGGTAATCTCTTAAACCTCCCTAAGATTGCATTTCCTTTTTCCTGAGTAAAATGGGGACAAATCTGTCTCACCCTCGCTGAGAGGATTAAGGAGATATAACGCGTGAAGGGACGGTGGCACAGTGCCAAGCACACGGTGAGAACTCAAGAAATGTTCACAGATATTGTTGAACTGTGTCAGGTGCTGGCGAGAGTGAAGCTGTCACGTCACCACAAGTTGTCTTACTTAAATCTTTTAAGTTCGCATCTGTTTGATTTTTTTTTTCCCCTGAACCTTTCTTTTTAAACTTTTCATTTTATATTGGGTATAGCTGATTAACAATGTTGATAATTTCAGGTGTACAGCAGAGGGAGTCAGCCGTACGTATACATGTGTCCTCCTCCCCTGAGCCTTTTCTTGGAATAGCAAATGCAGTCAGGGCTACAGGCTGCAGTACAGGGTGAATGGCGCCCTCTGGAGTTAGGCCCTGTGAGCTGAACACCGCCCGTCTCTGTGGCGGTCTTGACGCGGAGACATATGCTCAGGAGGACAGACTGTGTTCTGGTTGTTGTTCCCCCAGAGCCTGGCACGTAATGGTGCTTCTTAAGTATTTCTTGAATGAATGAATGAAACGCGCAAGCCGCTGTGTTGGAGCACGTTGCGGTGGCTGTTATGAGCCATACATAGTCTAGGTGCTGGAGTTCATGAGTGACTTAAAAAAAAAAAAAAGATGTGTAAAGTATTGTGGCTTCCAGGCCATCACAATCATAAACATTACTCCCACATTCTACCCGCCTCTAATGAGTCTCCACATGTGTGTTGCATGTCTGATGTCTACGCGGTAATGGGTAGTTTCGCTTTGGAGCAATCACTGTCATAATCTTAATTTTTTCCCTTTATGCTTTTTTTCCAAACTGTGATCACTCCTGTGGTAAAGTAGGGGTGCAGATAGTTTCACCTGGTTGGTTGTAATAACGAGCATTCATCTGTGATGTTACTGTTTAAAAATTTATTATAAACATTCAAAGAAGCTAATCTTCAGAGCAGCTTAGCAAGGTTTTAACAACTGGCAGGTGTGGCCTGAGGCCCAGCAATCAGGAGTCCTCCGGATTGAGGTGGACACAGACTTAGCAGCATGGGTACTGTGCTGGGTTCTGGGTATCGGGGAGTGAACAGGGCTCAGTTTTCCTCTTAAGGGGCCTGATGTTCTCATCAGAAGGGTGAGCGTGAACTCAGACGTCGTTGTACTTCCTGGGAAAAGCCATTCCAGTTCTGTCCGTCAGGCCTTTGGCGAGACAGGGCACTCAGACCCCCCCAGGGCTGGTGCAGAACGGGCCACAGGTGTGCACTTCTCAGCCTCAGGCCTGAGGGATGGGGCTGGGTGTGGAGAACGAGAGAGGGGGCTGCTTTTGATTGGGGTGGGGGGTTTGGTCACCTACAGCGACCCCAGAGGAAGGGGACCCAGAGAACCCCCTCCTCATTTCACTCTCGTCCCACCCGCAGTCCCCATCGCTGAATCCAGCTAGAACCAGAAGGCAAGGGGCCTAAGTGGTGGATGTGGTTCAGCCAGTTGGCCCCTGGGGCACAGAGCAGGATGGAGAGTGGATCTCAAGGAGAGGTGGAAGATTCCAGCCCTGGATTAAGTCCTCTGGTTGCCATAACACATTACACAACTTGGTGGCTTAAAACGAGACAAATTTATTTTCTCACAATCCGGGGGACCAGAAGTCCTAAATCAGGGGTGTCCATGCTCCCTCCGGAGACTCTAGGAGAGAATCCGTTGCTTGCCTCTTCCAGCTTCTGGTGTTGCTGGCCTCCTTGGCTTGTGACCGTATCACTCCATTCCCTGCCTCTGTCTTCACATGACTTTCTCCTCTATGTGTTCTCCTCTGTGTGTCTTGTATAAACCCACTTGCCATTGGATTTAGGACGACCCAGGTAATCTAGGATGACCTTTGTCTTCTTTAACTTAATTACATCTGCAAAGAGTCTTTCCCCAGATAAGGTCACATTCCCAGGTTCCAGGGATTAGAATGTGGACATTTCTTTTGGGGAGCCACTGTTCAGCCCACTACAAGCAGCCGTCACTCTCGCAGGAGAGTTAAAACGCCATTGTGATACAGTGATAGCTGTTGGTGTGACTTTGTTTAATTTGTCTTCAGTCGAGGGGCACTCCGCGAGGGCAGGGTCCGGCCTGCCTCGTTCGCCCCTGTGTCCATCGCCAGCCCTGCCCAGGGTCAGCGCGTAACAGTGCCTCAGAAAATCATTTTTTGGATGAATGAATAAACTGATGAACGGACAAGCACCGTGAACTACAATACGGAGTAAAACCAGGGGTGTGCTCTGTGAGGCCACGAAAAAGAGCTCAGATGTCACTGTGTGCTGAAGGAAAGCCAGTTCAGTTATATCAGTTGGGTCTCTGGCGCAACAGGGGGCGCTCAGCTTGGGGGAGTCGAGGGGCGTTTAGTAAAGGTGTTCTTTACAAGGAGATGGTGGGTGTAGACCCCTCAGGGCTGGTGCAGTTCAGCTTCGAGCTGAACGCTTACAGGGATGGATGGAGCGGTGAATTGTGCCTCAGAGAGCACCCGGCGATCAGGGAGTGAGAGCGTGTGTAGCTTTCCGTGCGGCTCTCGGAGTCGAAAAAGGCCCAGAGCCACAGCCAGGGCAGGGCCTTGAGGAGGGGCGTATAAGCAGGGGCTCGAGCAAAGTTGTTGGTGAGGAGTGTTTTATCTACCAGACGGAATGTTTACTTGTTAAATAAAATGGGATCCTTTACTTTGTACAAATACTAGGCCTCTTAGCATCGCAGTAGGTGAGAGGGCAAACCCGTGTTTTTTTGGTTTGTTTTGTTTTTGGGCTGCATCTCGTGGCATGCGGGGATCTAATTCCCTGAGCTGGGATCGAACCTGTGCCCCCTGCAATGGAAGCGCAGAGTCTTAACCACTGGACTGCCAGGGACATCCTCCAAACCTGTGTTTTTATCTTAGTTCCCGTGTCCTTACTGGGTTTTGAGCATTTAAAGAACTTCAGTACGATCAAGAATTTCCATCTATTTTGTTGAAATTTGCTCACATAATCCAATAATGTCATTTACTTTGTTATGATAAGGATTATATTATAGTGTAAAGGGGGAGTAAGGGACTACTCTGAGTATTTTCCCATAAAAGATTTAGCTTGGAAACATAGGCAGATTTGCCCATTGTAGTGTTTATAGGAAGGCACAGTTATAATTATAGTTGAAGGGGCAGACAGGCCAGCTTAAATCAGAACTTCACATTGTGGAAGCATCTGGTTTGGAAAACATCCACTGCAGACCCAAACCTTGACCCAGCTCTGGACAGTGGGGTGCAGGCAGGCCCCCGTCCTGGCCCCGAGTGCCTCTCAATTGTAACCACTGCGTGTGTCATGCAGAGGGGAGTTTATGTCTGTTTTCCTCCTCACCAACTTTATTTTCTTCCACACTCCCCCAACCCAAATAATGACCTGTGCATTTGAGGTAGAATGTACATTCTGTGAAAATGTCATACAGTGATGTAAGCCTCCCACTCTGCCTGGACCAGTATATGTAAAAGACCTTGGTTTTTTGTTTGTTGTAAACAAAGGCAGCTTATCTCCCTAGAGCCTCTGCCCTTCTGGTTCTACTAATACCTAACAGGTTTTTTTTTAAATTAAAACATAATTACTTTCTATAAATTTATACATGCTTATTATAAATGATTCAAACACTATACACAAGTAGAAAGAGGAAAGTAAAAAAAAAAGTCGCACCACTGAGAGGTTGCTGTTAGCTTTGGGTGACCATCCATTGAGACAGCCCTGCTCACGGATGGACAGATGGGCAGAAGTCACTGTATAAATGGATCTTACTGTAAATGGTGCTGTCACACGTCTCAGTTTTCTTTGATTTTGAACAGAAAAGGAAACTGAAGTGAAACTGAGTACATTTATAAAAATGTTTCATTACCACAGTTTATTTCCTGAAAAGATTTCTCTGTGGTTAAGAAAAAGAATCATGAGAAACCATCAAGAGGCTGGGACCCAGTTTTCAATTTCAGGGCGTATGGCTCCGCACGCGGCCTCCTCTCGCACGGGTCCTCGGATCAGGAGGATGGGGGCTGGAGAGTCAGACTGCACGTCATCCAGGGTGGCTGCCACTTAGGCCTTGCTGAGTGTGGTGTGCAGGGTCCCCCCGAGTCCTTTGCAAACGACAGAACAAGTCTGGCTGCTTCCTCCCAGTTTTCCTCAACTGGGATGATGAAAAGGAATGTTGGGGAGGAAGGTCTTTCTCTAATGCAGCATCAAAGGCGTGTTTGGGCACCGATGCTTGTGCTGGAAGAGCTTTATCAGAGGCTTTTCCCCACTTCAGCCTACGCCCTGGCCACCGCTCCCGCCACCACTGTCTCCACTGTCCACCTGGAGAGGGTGCGGGTGTGCCCTGGGTGGCCACTGAGAATTTCCTGATAGTCTTGTAAAAACATCTGAGCACCCGGGGATAGAAAGAGCACAGCCAGCGTGACGGTCGTCTGCATTGGTTGGAATTTTATTTTGCCTCTGCATTTGGCGCATGACATGTTGTAGGAGAAGTGATTCTGACCTGACTTGGACCCCAGGAGAATAAACTTTATTCGTAGATATATTTTAGGGTGGAACTGTGAGGCAAGGATCACCTGGGGGCTTTGAAGACACTCTCTAGGCCTGGGTCCCCTCCTAGAGAACTGGGCTCATCTGGGGCTGGTCTGGGCCTGGGGAACTTGTCAGTGCCCCCTTGCCTTCAGGTAGTTCAGCTGATGCTGAGAACCCCCGTGGTAGGCTGGCACTTGGCGGTGCTAGGATGGTGTACTTCCCTCACGCGATGCCTTTCCAGTGGCCCCTCGGGACCCCTGTGCTTGTGGTCTGCCTGCGCTGAAGACTTGGGGAAACTCCTGATCGGATGGCCCTTAGATCCAGGACGAGTGAGACCCTCCACCACAGTCCCTAAGGGTTCCTCTATTACGGGAGCCCGTCTGTTGCATAAAGGATTTGGGGCATTTGTTGCTTGGCAAGCACAGCTCATGGTTTTTTTCTTTTTGACTCTGCGTTTTGTTACCCACCTAGCTTGCCAGATCCAGCCTCAAGTGACTGGCTTCTTAGGGGCTGAGAGGGCCTCTCTGATTGATTCCGCAGATCCTTGCTGAGTGGCTGCTGTGTGCTGGCTGTTTGGCACACCACAGATGACGGGATACCCAAAGGGGGGTAACAGTGAGCGGGCGCACAAACGTAGTGCTCACTGGTTGCCATTGGTGGCAGGAAGGAAACAGGTGCTGTGACAGAGGGCGGCTGCTGGCTTAGCGAGGACGGCCAGGGAGGCCTCTGCAGACAGGGCGCTCAGCTGGGACCGGGCAGTGAGGCGGAGCCGGGGGCCTGCTCAGGGAGAGCTTGGCTGGTTCTCAGAACTGCCGGGCCGGGGCGAGTGAGGACCAGGTCACCCCAGGGCTCAGAGGTCAGGGCCTGACGAGTTCGGCTCCATTTTCGCTGATTCTCAGTTTAAGAATAGGAGGGTGCCTGTTCCTCTCAGTTCTCTGGGCCTCACTCAGGGCCTGACAAATCACAGTTGCTCGGTAAGTGTTTATTGAACACAGAACTGATTGAGTCAGAATGATGGCATGCACGGGGCAGTGGGTCCTGACGGTGGCCTTGAATACCTGCCCCTTCCCGTCCATCAGATGAGACCAGTCGGAGCAAAAGATCTCATCAATAGTCTGTCTTATTTATTTATAATTAAAGTTTAAATTTTGAGATAATTGTAGATTCACATGCAGCTGTAAGAAATAACACAGAGATCCCGTGGAGCCTTCACCCGGGTTCCCCCACTGACAACATCTTGCAAAATTCGAGTCCACTCCCAAGCCAGAATTTTGACACAGATATGGTCAGAGCAGGGCACCGTGGCCACGAGGAGCCTTCCTGTCGCCTCGTACAGTCACTTCCCTACCCCCAACCACGAATCCATCTCCATTTCTGTAGTTTTGTCCTTTCAAGAATGTCGTATACACAGAATCTTGGAGGCTGTGACCCTCTGGGCGGGTTTGTTTCTTTCGCGTAGCCTGTCCCCTGGATCTCCGTCCAAGTTGCACGTGTCTCAGTAGCCCATTCTTTCTTAGGTCTGTGCTCTGCTCACGGTGTGGGTGTGGTACTGCATTTAGCCGTTCACCTGCTGAAGGACACCTGGGTGGCTTCAAGCTTTTGATCACACAGAAGGCCGTTCTGAACATTCACGTGCAGGCTTTTGTGTGAACATAAACTTTCATTTCTCTGGAATAAATGCCCAGGTGTACAATTTCTGGATGGTAAGGTAGTTACCTGTTTTGTTTTAAAAGAAATTGCTGCGCTGTTTTCCAGGGTGGCTGTGCACTGGTTGGCTTGCATGTTCCCTTAAATGGCTTCATCGAAGGAAAGGCTCTTCTGCAGGACCTCTGGATGCAATGTACCTGGAGGCCGAGCTGCTGTGGGTAGGGCTTGGGGCGGTGCTGGGAGCCCCCCAGGACCCCTCCACAGTCTGCAGGACCAGGAGCCCAGTTAAACTAGGTCCTTCCAGCCCTCACAGTCCTTGCTGGCTGAAAGCAGCAGTGAGAGAGGGGAGAGTGTTTCCGCCGTGCTAGTTTGATAGTATTGAGCTAGAGGCTGCATTTTCTGTTTGAACTTAAATTTTGCTTTACCCTGAGCCTAATCTTGAGGGCCCTGCCCTGTGGGCCGTGCGAGAGATGCAGACTGTGTGTCTGCTGAGGAGAGGAGCCCCCCACTCGGTGGTCAGGGCCTCCTGCTAGAGACCTGCATCTAAGGCTCTTTCTTTGTTCTCACACGTGTGTGTGTGTGCGCGCGTGTGCGTGCACGCGTGCTGGGAATTGTGCGCTAGCGCCAAAGGGTATGGCTGGAGGGGGAGGGGTTGAAGCGGAGGCAGCAAGGCCAGGAACCTACAGTCAGACGAGCAAGAGGAAGGAAGTAGCAGCGAAAATAGCCTGGGTGGGGCGGGGTGTAGAAAATATCAAGGGGAGGGCAGGATGGCTGGTGTGGGGCTGACGGAGACCTTTGGAGAGAAACGGGGGCAAATAAGACTTCAAGTCCAGAAAGCGAGGTGGCTGCAGGCCGTGGAGGAGCCCCTCAGCAGCAAGTGGAAAGGGGGCTGAACTAGAAGTAAGACACGTTGGTATTTTTGCTTTTTTATTCAATGTACTTCTGGTTACGTTTCATTAGGACTTCCTCACCTTTTCTCAGACCTCGCATTAACCCCTCTCACCCCTGAGGTCCAGGCGGGCTTCTCCACCCACACGTGACCTGTCACCCCCAGAAGCACAGGACCCCTGTTGGGCAGATAAATCCCCGCCCCCAGCTTTGGATCAGCGGTGCTGATGGACCAGCGGTCAGGAGCTGGGGAGGCTCAGGCCTCTGCTCAGACGTGAAGAGCTGGTGTTGGGCGTAGGGACAGAGTAGAACAGGGCCCCTGAGTGGATTCCTTCCCAGGGTCTCGGGCTCTCGCGTTTGATCTCAAAGCCTGATGACTAAGCCTGAATTGACACCATGCCAACTGGCCGTCCTCTGATAAAAAGTGATTCTTTCACTTCTCTGGAACAGCAGCAACTCGTTTTGGAAAACTCTAGCTCTAAATCTTTAGAGCCGTTCGCTCCTAAGAGCACAATGGCAGTGGTAAGGAATTCCGGTCACAGCACAGCTCCTGGGGTAAAAGCTTCAGCAGGTCCTGGGACAAAGCCCGTCCTGCAGGCCTGAAGGAGAGGAAGTGGTCTCGCTCTTTAAGAACGGGAGCAGCGTCCAAACTAGAAATCGGGGCTGGCGTTGGGGTGGGGGCAGCTGCCCAGCCAAACAGAAGCTGCTGCGGTGGCCCCGGGGGTGGGGCTTGGGGCTCACACGCTGGTTCTCATCACCCTGTATGGTCTTTGCAGACGCAGAATGTTCAGCTTAACAAAGAAATGACGCTGGCCAGCAACCGGAGCCTGGCAGAAGGAAACCTTCTCTACCAGCCCCAGCTGGACTCTCTGAAAGCACGTTTGACCCAAAAATACCAGGAACTCCAGGTGCTCTTTGAAGCCTATCAGATAAAAAAGACCAAATTAGGTAACTCTTTTAGGGTGATCTTTCAAGAATAAAGAGCTGAGGGAAGGTTGCATTTCCAAGCTGTTGCACTAACCAGGAAAGAAGTGTTACTGTGGGGCAATTTCAGATTAAGGCAGTCACTACTGCTGTGAAAAAATAGTTTATATATAGGATTGTGTCAGTAATTTAGAAGAATAGACTTGACTACTTTTTTTTTTTTTTTTTTTTTTTTCGGTGCGCGGGCCTCTCTCTGTTGTGGCCTCCCGTTGCGGAGCACAGGCTCCGGACGCGCAGGCTCAGCGGCCATGGCTTACGGGCCCAGCCGCTTCGCGGCATGTGGGATCTTCCCGGATCGGGGCACGAACCCGCGTCCCCTGCATCGGCAGGCGGACTCTCAACCACTGCGCCACCAGGGAAGCCCTTGACTACTTTTTAAACAAGACTCTACCTTTTCCAAACAGTATAGAAAAAAGGCAATTTTTCTGAATTATGATATACAACGAATGCTTTATCCTTGAAGTTAGGCCCTCACAGTTAATGTTGAAAAACATTCATCACTGGAATACTTTATTTTAATGTCACACTTTACTTTGCAGCCATTATGAAGTGACGCAGGCATTGACTATTGTTGAAGCCTGAGTGCATTGGGGGTAGCTTTCAAGGAAACTGAGATTAAGAGAAGGTTAAAAGGGGAGTTCCCTGGTGGTCCAGTTGTTAGGACTCAGTGCTTTCACTGCCGTGGCCCTGGGTTCAATCCCTGATCAGAGAACTAAGATCTCACAAGCCGAGGGGCACAGCCCAAAAAAAAAAAAAAGGAGAGAGAAGGTTAAAAAATCACCCCCTTCAGTGAAGTGTACAGTGACGTCCGATACCATGATTCCTGTATCTGTGTAACTGCAGTAAAAATGCACTGTAACACACCCGACCAGAATGAGTAAAGGTGAAAAGACTGGCAACACCAGTGCTGGTGGGGATGCGCGGTTCTTCCATTGCTGGGAGGAGTGAGAATTGGAGAAGCTGTTAGCACCTGCTACAGTGAAAAGTAGGCATGCTCTATGATTCAGCAGTTCCACTGCTGGGTGTCTCCCCAACAGAAGCGAACGTTCACTCATGTCTATCAAAAGATGCACACAACGGGCTTCCCTGGTGGCGTAGTGGTTGAGAGTCCGCCTGCTGATGCAGGGGACACGGGTTCGTGACCCGGTCCGGGAAGATCCCACATGCCGCGGAGCGGCTAGGCCTGTGAGCCACGGCCGCTGAGCCTGCATGTCCGGAGCCTGTGCTCCGCAATGGGAGAGGCCACAACAGTGAGAGGCCCGCATACCACACACACACACACACACACACACACACACACACAAAAAAGATGCACACAAGAATGTTCGTTATAGCTTGCCTTGTGAGAGCCAAATTTGGAAACAGTCTAAGTGTCCATGTACAGAATGGTGGGTAGGTTGTGACACTTACACAACTTTCAGTGCCACAAAGCGCGGAAAGAAATGAACTGCCGGTTCATGCAGCAACACGGATGGTCTCGGAGACATGGTATTGAGCGGAAGAGGCCAGCACAGAGCACATACTGTGTGGTTCCACTTGTGTGAAGTTCAGAAGCAGGCAGGACTCTTGGGTAGTGGAGGGCACTCTGGGAGTGGCCTGGGGAGCCTTTGCAAACACTCTGTATCCCAGGCTGGGTCATGGTGGTTGGGTTTGTCTATGTAAACACATATATACATATATATGTAAAAATTCAGGTGGTGCACCTAAGATGTGTATACTTTATGTATTTATGTAAATTATCACTCAGAACTCCAAAGGAAATAAATTGTAGGGTTAATTGCAGGGTTAGGTTGCAAGGTTGGGTCACACGTTCAGTAATCGCCCCTGTATTGTGAGGCGGGAGGGTGACGCCGGCTGCAGTTACGGCCTTTCCTCTCAGCTTCCTGGAAAGTCAGCTCAGTAGGTGTGACCCTCCTGTCGCCTGTCCAGCGAAAGTACACTCTTTCTTCGAAAGGGAAGTGGGGAGGAGACTGGGGGAGCGTGTCGTCCTGAGGGGCCGGGGGTCATGGTGGTTTCTGAGGGTGTGCCCGTGCCCCTCACGCTCTCGTGCCTCCTGCTTCTTCCAGATAAACAGTCCAGCAGCGCTTCCTTGGAGACCCTGTTAGCACTTCTGCAGGCGGAAGGGGCCAAGATCGAGGAGGACACCGAGGTAAATCCAGCCAGCCCAGCGGGACGCCCCAGGGCAGTTACCTGGGCCTGGGCCCAGTTCCCCCAGGGCCAGGCGTGCCGGCTGCGCGGAGTGGGCAGGAGTGGGCAGCCCAGCCGGTGGGCTGGGGAGAGCGCCAGCCTGGGGGCCAGGGAGGCAGTGGGGGCGGTCTGGTCCTCAGGTGAGGGGTGCACGCTACACTGTGAATCGGCGCCCGTCCCGTCTGCGTCAGCTGGCCGGGCAGAGCCTGTGGGCACGACCAGCTGAGCACCCGAGGCTTAAGCCTCGCTGAGCCATAAGGAAATGAGTCAGGGTCCAAAGTTGTGTGGTTGTAGCCTCTCCGGACTAGGCCGAGTGCTCTGAGGAACCGTCGGGCGGGGTGGCCCTCGTTGGTGCGAGCGAGTTTCTGTCCTGCTGACCGTGTGGGGCTGGCAGGGTGCAGCCAGTGGAGGGAGGGAAACGCTGGTCTCGGCCGGGGGCTTAGCAGCTCGGGCCCCTCACCTTAAGGCGGGCTCTCCCCAGGGCCCGCTGCCTGTCCGGCAGGTGGGACCAGCACCTCTCTTCCCGCTCGCTCGGCCCGGGTGGGGCACCAGGAGCGGCCGGGGACAGGGAAGGGATGGGTGTCCTCACGGCTGACCTGCCCCGTGAACCGGGTTTCTCCTGCTCCTCCAGAACATGGCAGAGAAGTTTCTCGATGGAGAGCTTCCCCTGGACTCCTTCATTGATGTCTATCAGAGCAAGCGGAAACTGGCCCACATGCGAAGGGTTAAAATCGAGAAGCTCCAGGAGATGGTGCTGAAGGGGCAGAGACTTCCACAGGGCCTGCCACCGGCCCCGCTGCCCCCCAGGGTGCCCGAGCCAGCGCCCACTGCCCCCCTGCCCTACCCCTCCCCGGAGGCCAGCGGGCCCCCCTCCGCGGTGCCTCGGCGCATCCCTCCCCCACCGCCCCTGGTGCCTGCGGGACGCTTAGCCACGCCGTTCGCCGCTGCCCTGAGCTCAGGACAGGGCCCCCCGCACCCAGTGGCGCAGTGCCCACCGCTGCCCCCGCGCGGGGGCCTCCCCGCACAGCAGGGCTTCTCCCTGCAGCAGTTTGTGTTGCCACCGTACCCGCCGGCGCTGCCCCAGAGACCCCCGCCCCGGCTGCCTCCGCACCAGCCAGGCTTCATCCTCCAGTGAGCGGCCCTCGTCCTCCCCGTGAGACTCCCTCGCCGGCGCCTGCTGGCCGGGTCCGCGCACGCAGATGGAGGCCGTGAGCACCGGCTGCTCTGCCAGGGGCTCTGGTGCTCGGGCCAGGGCGTCCATCTGGTTGTAGAGCCGTAGGTCAGTGGTAAGCACACGTAGAACCCTGGTTGTGGACACCTAGGCGGTTGTGCGCTGGGCCTCAGCCGGGCATCCCGTGGTCGCGCTGGTTTGTGTTCTCGGTATGATTCCTCAGTCTGGCGTTGAATTTGTGAGTTTGGGGAAAGTCGTCGTCTCCCCCCCCCCCCCCCCCCGCCTCCGTTCCCACGTAGGATCGTGGTCCTCCCGTTGCAGCTTTATTTAATAAGCATGGTTCATTATTTCTGCTTTATTTTCAAGACAGTTCTGTGGGTCCCAGCCCACTGCCCACCGCGGCCTCTGGTGGGGGCCGGTCGGGTGGGCCAGCCCGGAAGGTGCTTCCTGAACCCATGTGGGGCGGGCAGTCCTCAGAGTCCCTCCCTCCCCCGAGCCTGGATGCTTCAAAGCCACCCTCAGAGTTTGCACTCGGCCCCCTGCCACGTCCAGGGGCCGGGCGAGCTGCGGCGGGTGAGGAGGTGGCCGGGAGCTGAACTTGGCACAGCAGATGACGGCCCCAGCTCCTCCTCTGCCTCCGCCTCGAGCCAGCCCGAGGCTCTCTATGAAGAAGTACTCCTCCAATATTTTTACTATGTGTGTGATTTTCCTGTTTTATATTGGGAAAGAAAACTTTTTTGACACTCATAAGACCATTCAGGGAAACTTTATGAAAAATGCACATACTGTTCTGAGCAGGTTGAGAGTGCAGATGAAGTGAACGCAGTTTCCTTTCTTGCAAGCAGTGCACGGTCGCCCCCGCGGGGCCCGTGCTGTGCCTTAGCTTACCTGGTGCCAGGAGTGGCCGGACAGGCGCTGGGGCGGCGTCACCGGCCGCTGCTGCCCCGGCTCTGCGTTCCGGGAGGGGCTTGTCTGCGTTCCTTGTTGTGTTGCAGGTGGAAGAAAAGCCCACCCGCCTTGAACCAGAATGCCCTTAGCCAATATTCTCTGCCTCTGGCTGGGCCTTGGGGCAGGGGTGTGACAGAGGGATGCCAGCAGCATCTCAGCTCAGTCTGGAGAAAGCCTGCCCCTCAGTGTTAGGGAGGTACCAACAATCTCCGATGCTCTGGCAACACCCCGGGCTGTGCCTGCCCCCTGGGTTCTCATCCGCACGTGCCACGTGTGCCGGATTCCCAGGGCCCCAGGCGGGGCTGGGGGTAGCGTTGCCGCCCACCTGTTGACCAAAAAAGGCCCGTGTGCTCAGTTGTGGAACTCCTGACTCTGGCCTGTGACTCCCCAACTGGCTGCTGCCCAGGTGACAGAATCCAGGCAGAGCTCAAATGGGGTCTGTCCCGGCAGGCCCTGGGCGAGGCCACCAACCTTTGTCCTCAGTTACTGTACATTTCTACTCCTGGACTTGAACTCCTGCTGTATTGTAACTGTTTTTAAAGAGAACAGCTGTATAGGACGATTTACTGCCCTGCCAATCAGGTGGGCCTGTTAACGCCTGTGTCTCTCGAGAGTGGTGCCACCCAGCCCTTACCTCTGCCGCCTGCAAGGGGCGCAGCCAAACGTGTGCGCTCGGTGTTGATGTGGGGGAGGGGCCGCCAGGCTGGCCTTGCCGTCTCCAGGGCCACATCTGAACTGTGCTTGTAAAGCTGTTAAGACCCCTTTTAATAAATAGAGAATTGTTAATAACGGCCCTGTCCTTTATTTGCCTGGGGACCCTCATGACGTGTTTGGTTCTAGAGTATCAGCAGTCAGCATTCCAACAGCGAGGCTGACTGGTGTGGCTCTGAAGTTACAAAAACTAAAGGCCACTGAGGTGGTTGGTCTTGATCCGAGAATCTCAAATGTGCACCAAAAGAGGCAGAAGGAAGCGCGCTCCTCCTGTGTCGGGGTGTCTTTGGGGTCTTAGCCGCCCTGCCAGGGCCTCAGCAGGGGACTCAGGGTGCCCCCTGGGCTCAGTTCCCCCCCGCCCCGGCTTCTGTCCACAGGCCAGCTGCACAGCTGATGGAAACTCTACTTAGAACATTCTCTGCTGATGTCAAGTAAATGATACAATCCTGTGGCCGGCATTCTGCTCTGAGACTCGCCCACAGGTGTTTAAAGGGGACCCGTGGCCAAGTCATGCGCTGCTGGCGGCTGGGAGGAGGGACCTCACTGCCCGCTGGGGCCTTTGTGGAACACGAGCACGAAGCAGCCCCGTGAAAGCTTCCCTATCGCTGTGTCCTCTAAACAGATGCCATTGCCTTCGTGTCACAGTGCCGGGAGGGTGTCTAGGAGACACTGCTATGGCTTTCCTGTAAGAGGGAAGCGTTTCCTGAGAAATCGCCTTGCTTTTGTTCATGAGAACGTGACTGACAGTTTTGTCTTTTCCCAGTGGCTGCTGGGAAGCTTACAGCCAAATCTGCAGTCCACCCCCCTTGGGGGCGCTGGGCTGGACAGAGCCACGTGTGATTCCTCCCTCGTCGGGGCTGCTTTGCTCACGGGACATCCAGGGAGGACCAGTGCCTGACCTCAGCCGGACTGGTAGGTGCTGCGCGCACTGCGGGGCTCCACCGCGACGTGTGCTCACTGAGGACCTAGGTGCAGTCGGCTCACACCAGCCTTCACTGGTTTGGATTTGGTGAGAGAACCATCTGCTTTAGTCTGTTTGCCGAAGCTGTTTTCCTTGCAAATAAGGACCAGACACTGCTCCCTCTCACTGCCCTTCCAGTTCACGGAGGCTGGTTTTCAAAGCCCTTTCTCACCTGACCACACCCGCCCTCTCACAGCCCTACTTCATCCTCCGGGAAACCGAGGCGGGGGAGTGGCGTGCTTGCCACACGGCAGGAGCCACATGAGGTGCCCTTTTCCTCCCCCACCTGCGCCGTCCTTTGGATCCACAAATGCTGGTGACCTTGGGGGAGGGGTGCGGTTGCTGAGGGCAGCCGGCCACGGGGTGCTTCCAGGGAACGTGGGTGTGGGCACAGCCAGCTGCGCTCTCAGGAACCTAGACGCCTGGTAAGTTCTCCAGTGTAAAGGCTGGTTTGGCCACTGCAGTCAAGTCCAGCCAGGGGTCAGGGTCACCACCAGGCTCAGGTGTGAAATTCAGGTGAAATCCTTCAGGTAAGATTTGTAACTGAGGAATCGGCCTCACCCCTCCCTCCCTGAAAGAGGCGGAGCTTCCAACAGTGCTGGGGGAGGGGGATCAAGACCCGAGGGGGCCTCTGGCTGGGAACAGAGGCCTCTCAGAGAAGAGCCCTTAGACTCCCCAAACAAGCGTCCCAGAGTCACAAACCTCCCGGGAAACGAGCCGGACACTTCTTGGCAGAACCGGAAGCGGGAAGGTTTTCTGTGGCTCCCATGTTCCACTGTTTCCTGCAGAAACTACGGGGGTCCCTCCCCTCCCCAGCGTACTGGCCCTGGAGAAATGAAGAAGCAGGCGCAGCCTCTCACTGTGGGGTGACAACAGTCAAAGTGCGGTTTATTGCTGATCTGACAGACACTTCAACACGAGGAAATACTACACGCAAAGCGAATCGAGCTGCCGCCTTGTGCTCCTCTCCAGGCCGAGATTCTTCCTTCCAGCCAGGCCTCCCTCTTCCCAGGAGGAGGCGGGGGGCTCGAGGAGAGCGCGTTCAGCCCTCCCGGAGGGCTGCCCCCTGCCCCAGGAGCACCAGGTGCCTTTGATCTGATCCGAAGAGGGCGCAGGCAGCTCCTAGTTTCTGGGCTTTTTCTGGCTAAGTTGGAGAGGCCTGCGGGAGGGCTGGAAACCTCCCAGGGATGGGGAGGCAAAGGGAGGAATGAGGTGGCTGGGCATGGGGAGGGGCAGCCAGACCAGGGGAAAGAAAAACAGGAAGCAGGAGGGTCACCGCAGGTTCCAGCAGGAACAGACTCCAGGAGGATGGCAGCACCCGGCCTGTCCCCCTTCCCAGGCAAGGGTCTCGTCCTCAGCGCTCACGGTCACTGACGCCCTAGAGCGAGGCCCAAGGAGAAAGGGGCGCTACCCCCAGCCCACCTAAGAGCATCCTGCTTTGCCTGAGGCCGCACCAGGTCCCAAGAAGGCCACGAACAGGTGATGTCTTCCCCATGTCCCCAACAGCCAGCACAGACTGTGTTCTAGTCACCTCTAACCTCAGACCACGAGTCCCAGGGGCAGGGGAGGCCCGGCCCAAACAAACACCCCTTCCTGTAGCCCTGCTTTCTGGTGTGTTGCACACAAACTCACAAAAGATCTAACTCAGAATATTAGAAATGCTCCGTGTATTTCCTGAAGAGCTGTGGCTCAGGCCTGCTGGGTCCTGGCTGCTCTGAGAAGTTCCTGTTGCAGGTAACTAGGCTCTCGTCCGGGAAGAACTGCTCCGGTCAGCCCCGGTCAGCCCTGAGCCCTTGCGCTCAGCGAGGGCTGGGCCTTCTCAGAGGCTCCTCAGCCACGAGGCCCAGGCCTGGCCGTCAGCCTCCCCGCTGGACCCCTCGGGCGCAGGGGTGGTAGTGGCTAGTAGTTGACGAGTGGAGCCGCGTAGCTGCCATCCTTTTTGTCAAGCTGCAGGAGTCAAAGGTGAGGGGGCTCGGTGGCCACGGCCAGGAGTGCCTGACATGCCTTGCGCCGGGCCCCAGGCACCCCGCCGCTCCTTGGCCCCTGCCCCTTCCCTGGCACGAGCCCTTGGCACCTGCCGTGCTCCCTGCGTTGCTGGGGCCGCGTGTCTGCCCCCACTGGTCAGTGGCTTCTGACCATCCCCAAGGCCCGCTGCCCCACAGGCCAGTGAGCAGAGGCCGGGACAGCACTCCTGGGGCCCCTCTGCTGTCACCCCCCACCCGCACTGACTCCCCGCACCTGCTGGTCCTGCCTGGGGGCCACGCTGGGCTTCTGGGCCAGGGGCGGCTTCTTGGAGGTCCCACCGCGGGGGGCAGCGCTGGGCCGGCCGGGCTCATCAGCACCGGGCGTCCCCACGGCCCCGGCCAGCATGTAGTGCTGCTTCCGCAGCTCACCCAGCCGCATGCGCTCCACCTCCAGCGTCTTCTCCAGCTCCAGGACCCGCACCTGCAGCCCGGTGCGCGGCCGCTCAGCAGGCCCACGGCCTCGCCCCAGGGGCCCTCCCGCCTTCCCGGAGCTCAGCCGCGGGAAAGGGACCGGAGAGGGACGGGGGCAGGAGGGGGGACTGGAGAGGGACAGCCGAGGGCGCCCACCTGGGTCTCCATCTCCTGCTTCTTCAGCTTGATGAGGGAGAGGCCGGAGAAGTCCATGGTGTCTGCGGCCAGAGGGGAATGGGTAAGCATCTGGGCACCCGCCCCCAGCCCGGCCGCTGCACCGGGGCCCCAGCACTCGCCTCTGTCCTCGATCTGCTCCTGGCCCGACCTGGTGGAGGCCACCACGCTGGCGGCCATCTCATTGACGGCGCGAGAGCATTCCTGCAGGCGACTCAGGTGTGGGCTGTGCTTGTCGGCCTTCACCTGGGGGGGCAGGACGGCCTGCTGGCTGCACCACCCCCACGCCCACGGTCTCCCCGCCACACGTGGTGCCGCCGCCACAGTCGGGAGCCCAGGAGCCCGAGGGGAGGCTCACCTTGGAGGCCGCCACCAGCTGGGCTGTGCTGGCCGCGATCTCGTGGGAGCAGACGATGAGCTCCTCGTACTTGCCCGTGTGAAGCACCACCCTGTCAGCTGACTCCCTGGGGGCAGAGCCGGGCAGGGCCTGGGTCTCCGACCCCCTGGACGGCAGGCCGCCTCAACACCCCTCCCCAGACCCTGAGCACCACACACCCTGCTGCCCCCCCGACCTGAGGCAACATACACCAGCTGCGTGGCTCCCCAGCCCACGGCCTTGGAGGCGGAGATGAGGCCTTCCGTCCACCTGGAATTCTTGGCGTAAAATTCCTGCTGCGTGGCTGCCCCCTAGTGGCGACAGGAGGGCGGGGTGGACCAGTCAAGGACGTCCTGGGTGGCAACAGATCCCCGCGGGTGGGCCCTCCTCCCCTCACCCCGGCCACTAGGGCGCATCCCTGGGCCGTGGAGGATTGGTCTGGGATTCCCAGGTGCGCTGCATGCACTGGGAGGGCCTGTCAGCACTGCACACTCGGGCGTCTTATGCCCAAGAACAGTCCCGTGGTCGGCTTAAGCCACGGGGCGGGTGATCCGCGACCGAGAGGGCTCTGGAGTCAGGCCCCTTTCAGGAACCTGTCCCTCGATGGCCTAGCTGTGCAGCCTGCCCGCTAGGGAGGGGGTCCCACCTGGCCCCGTGAGACCAGCGGCCCAGCTCACCCTGCCGCTCTCCACGATCTCCTTCTGCAGGCTCGTGGATGTTGTCACCAGGAGCCGGATGGCCTGCCAAGACCAAGACGTGTGTCATTCTTGGGGGCCCGGCCAGGCACGGGGCCCGCCCTGGGTCCCAGCCAGCCACTCACCTTCATCAGGTCTGTGCAGGAGTTGAGGATCCTGAGAGGAGCAGAAGGGTGAGGAAAAGAGAGAAAAGGAGCTGCAGTGCGGCCCCAGAAGCCACGGGGGCGTCAGGGTGCTCGGCAGGTGGGCCCACAGGGTCGGGCGTGCTCTGCGGTTCCCAGGCCTTGTTTCTGGAGAGCTAAGCAGTCAGGAGAGCAGAAGCCCCTCCCCCCCATCTGGAAAAACTGGGGAACCCGCCCTGGGGCGACTGGCGGGCAGAAGTAGGTCTCACCTCTCATTCACCTCCAGCTTCACCCCAGAGCTGGCATGGCGGGCCTGGTTCATCACGTCCTACACCAATGGCAGAGCTTTGAGTGGGTGGGGAGGAGGGCAGCGTGCGAGAAAAGGGGACACCGGCACTGGACCAGCCCCGGAGCCAGGGAGGTGAGGCCCAGGGCCCGAACACCAGTGCCCCCACCCACCCTCCCACCTCTGACCTGCAGAGGCCGTCTGGCCGTCGCACAGAGGCTGAGTGCGGAGGGGGGTGCAGCCCGCACTCACCCCAGCGCCCCCGGGGCTCCTGCACCCTGGTCCTCACCTCGATTCTCCGCACCGCATCTTCGATGGCCGCAGACGTGGCCGCCATCTCCTTGTCCACCACAGCCCCGAGTTCCTCCTGACGCACGTCCAGGATCTTGGGCTTCAGCTCCTGGGGGATGAGGGAATCCAGGAGTCAGAGGAGGTGGATTCCACCTCCCGCCACCCCACAGAGCCTGGGAGCAAGACTGGGGCTGCCGGGCCCTAGAGAGTAGTGCTCTATACCCACCCACCCCGTGTCCCACAGCTACAGGTTCTACACGTGAGCACCTATTCAGCCCAAACTGGAAGGAGGTGCAGAGAAGCTAGGGACCCCAGCCCAGCACCACCGCCCCCCTGCAGACCCTGACCCACACTCGGCATCCCGGCTGCACACCTCACCTGGCCCAGCTGAAGGATGCCCTGCAGGGGGGTCTGCACCAGGCTGGGCTGGGCCTGCAGCAGAGCCTGCTGATCCTGCAGCTGCCTCACGAGCTCCAGCGCCCGCACTCCACACTCCCTGCAGGTGTCGATCAGGCCTGGGGGGAGAGGGCTGAGGGGAGCCAGTGCCGAGAACCCGGGGAGACCCTAGCTGGGTCTGACGCCAGGACCTATCAGCAGCCGCCTCCCTTTCCCAGGTCCACGGGGAGGAGCTCGTGTGACAATCCCAGGGCACACTTACGGTCAGCAGGGTCAGTGGGGGCCAGGTGGGAGGTGGCACTGCCGTGGACGATGGTGTCCGCGGCCAGGTGGGAGAACCGGGTCAGGGCTGCCACAAGGGCAGAGGCGTCTATGCGGGAAGAACAACAACCCTCAACGCTGCTGCTCTGGAACAGGCCCCGGTGGTGCCTCTCCTGCCTGGCAAGCCCACACAGGCTCCAGTACCCCAGCTCTCGGTGGGAGGGGGCCGGGCCAAGGTCACGCAGCTGGAAAGCAGCATCGCAGGAACCACCCCCGGGTCTCTGTGACCCCTGGCCCGAAGGGCTGATCTCTGGAACCGGGCTGGGGCTTACTGGAGAGGCGCCTGTGGTGGGAAACCGCCCCGAAAGCAGGAGGCGGCAATGGCCCGTGGGCCCGGGTCACCACCGCTGGCGGCCTCTGCCCTGCCCAGGCCGGCCCCAGCTGCACTCACCTGCCCTGGAGATCAGGTATTGGGCGTGGCCCTTCTCCAGGGTGCTCACGGCATCCAGGGCAGCCTGGGCCCTGCTCACCAGGTAGTCTGCCAGCACAGGGAGAACCGGTGAGGGGCAGAGCCTGGCCTGAGGCCCCGGCACCCTCCTGCCCGCCTCCCTCAGGGTGGGTGGGTGAGGAGGGAAGAGCAACGCCCGAGCGCCTGCCGCCGCGGCCCTACCCGGAGAGCTGGTGCAGCGCAGGTGCAGGGGGTCGTCTAGCTTGCCCACGGCGTCCTGCAGGATGCGCTCGGCCTCGGCAGCAGTGCCCCGCAGCATGGCGAACTGCTCATCCAGCAGCCTGCGCTGCAGCCCCTGCTCCTGAGACTCCTGGTGGGAGAAGGTGAGGCAGCGGTGAGCCAGCCAGGCCCCAGCGGAGACCCTCGCTGGGGAGGGGGCTTTAGCGAGAGGCCCTGCTGCACCCCCTGTGCCTGGGCTGCTCCCTCAGGATCGGGGCACGCAGCTCATGGTAAAAGGGAATTCTGCCCCAATTCAGCTGTTACGCAGGGTGAGAGTGCGCAGCAGGGTGGCGGGGTGGGCCCGCACCTTGTCTGCCAGCCGCCCCTGCAGCTCGCCCCTCTCCCTGGAGCTGCGCTGCTGCTCCTGGTCCAGCGCCGCCTCCTTCTCCCGCACCAGGCTCTGGGCTGCCACCAGCTCAGCCTGCCGCTGCCGCACTTCGCTGCTCAGTGTGTCCTTCTCCGCACTCAGCGTATCCAGCCTCGAGCTCAGCTCCAACCCGCTCTGTGTACACCTGGCCGGTGAGCAGGGCTTCCAGAGGCCCCGCCCGCCCCCATCCCCACCCAAATCTACAGACCCTCCCTAGGGCCACAGGAGACTGAAGGCTGGCTGAGGGCCCAGGAGCGGGTCCTGTGCCCTGTATACTTCCTGGGGCTGGGTCAGAGCCACACCCCAAGACCAGGGCAAGCCGCTCTAAACCACGCCCCGCTCCGTGGCAGCCCGGCCTGGGAGGGCCCACACCTGCTCCGCGTGGCTCAGGGCCGCCTGCGCCCGCACCAGCTCTCCCGCCTTGGCCTCCAGCTCCCTCTTGAGCTTCTCCAGCTGGTCACTCTGCTCCTCCAGCTACGACGGGAGGGGACAGGACGTCACGGAGGCAATGGAGCTGGGGGTCTACGGGGCAGGGCCTGTGATCACGGGACGCACCTTCATCTCTGACTCCCGTTTCACCTGCTCCACCTGGAAGGCCAGCTGCTCCTTCACCCGCGCCACCTCCTCCTGGCTCTGCTGTGTCACCGTCAGCTGCTTGGCCGTGTCTGCGTTCTGCACCGGCGGGGACCAGGGACAGGCTCGGCTGGGCTGCGCTCGGGGTCCCCTCCTCCCACCGGCCCCCGTCCGCGCCCCCCGGGCCTACCTTCCGGAGCAGCTCGGCGTGCGTGGTGATGAGCTCGCTGTGCTTTTCCTTCAGCTTGTTGTAGCGCGCCTCGGTGGCGCTGGCCTTCTCTGCGGAGGAGGCGGAGGCTACGGCCGTGACCCCCAGCCCGGCGGCGTACCCCCCGCCCCACCCTGCCGCCCCGCCCACGCACTCTCCGCCTCCTCTCGCAGCCCCTGGTGGCGCTCGCCCTCCAGCTGGGCGGCGCGCAGCCGGGCCACCTCGTGGCGCAGCTGCTCGTTGTCCACCAGGGCCTTCTGCTTCTGCTTGCGCTGCTCCTCCAGCTCGGCCTCCAGCGCGTTCACCTGGCTCTTCAGCTGCGCCATGTACCGCTGCGCCTGGGCGGCGGGAGGGTGGGGTGTAGGTCCCCCGCGCGGGGCAGCCGCCCGCCCCTGCGCCGCCGCCCGTGCCCCTCACCTCCAGCTGGATCTTGTCCAGCTCCGTGCGGAGCGTCTCCACCTCCCTCTTCAAGGTCTCTATCTGGAGGTCCCTGGGGACAGAGGTCAGGCGGGGTCTTCCCCAGCCCGCGTGGTCTTCCCCAGCCCGCGTGGTCCCGGCGTTCCAGTTCACTCAACCGGGACGATCAGGGGACCCGGGCACGGCCACTGGTCCTCTCATCAGCACCCCCTCGGGGTTTGAGCATCTCAGGTCTGTGTCCCCAGACAAGATCTTTCGGGATCACAGTTCCCGGAAGGCTGTTTCCCACGATGGTGGGCTCCCCCGGCCCTCACCTGTCGTCCTTCATGGAGCCATTCGGGGGTCCAAATGTCTGCTCAAAGAGGTCAGCCACCACCTGCCACGGCAAAGCTCGGTGACCCCCGCCCCTACTCCCCCAGGCCAGGAGGGAGTCCCAGCCACCCCCAGTGCCCCCAGCGAGGAGGGGGCGGCTCACCGCTGGTTCCGCGGCGGGGGGCCCCGAGCCGATCTCGATGAGGTTCTCGGGCTCCTCGTCCTCGGGGGCCTCCTCGGGAATCACCACCACCGGCTTGATGTGCTCGGCCAGCGCCGAGGCCCGCAGGAAATTGGGGGGTCCCTGAGGGGGCAGCGGGTGAAAGCGACCCAGCGCTCCCCCCAGCAGAAGGCCCTCCCTCTGCCGCTCCCACAGCCCACACGAGGCCCCACATGGCGCCCAGCCAGGCGGCCACGGTCCTCAAGCCCAGAGCCCAGGGCAGAACAGGGCTGCAGGCTGGCGGCGGCCTCTGGAGGGCGCAGGTACCTCGGGCAGCCGGGGGATCTGGATGAGCCGCTTGAAGTAGAGCATGTCAGAGGCTCTGCGGAAGAAGTTTCTGAGGCTGCGGGGACGGGGACGGGGACGGGGACGGAGGCGGGAGGTCAGAGGAGCCAGGCCCCAGCCCGGTAGCCCCAGCACACGCCGCCACCCTCCACCCGGCCCAGCCTGGTACCTGTGAAACTGCTCATGGAACCGGTCCCGGTGGCCTTGCAGGGTGTCTGCCGGGAGGCCTGGGGGCAGAGAGGTGTAAGGGGACTCCCTCCTCGCTCACTGCTGTGCCCGAGACTTCAGATCTGCTCCCTCCCTTCCCCCTCCCTGCTCCTCCACGTTCTAGAAACCATCACAGATTAGACAGATTACCTGCCACCTGGCTGCGTCCCACCCACCATCAGGAGGGCCCAAAGAACCCCCTATGAGGAGTTCAGCTCTCGACTGAGTGAGGGAAGGAACCGGTGAGTGGGACGGGCAGAACCCTGACCACAGCGCACCGCACGTGGGCTCTGCTGGTCCGTCAGGTCGCCCTCCCTCGAGTTTGCCCAAGGTTGACACTGGAGCAGCTCACAGACCCCAGCCAGCAGCCCAGACCTTTTCTGAGCACTAAGGAGCCACCACGTGCCTCCCCCAGTCCTCCCCGCCAGCCCAGTGCGCACCCCGCTGCCGCCTCCGAGGCCAGGCGGTTAAGAGAACTGCAAACACGTAAAACTACGTGGCTCTTCCCACTAAATCTTTGTTTTGGAAAATAGTGATTTTTTTTTATAACAAGTATGTTATTTATGTTAGTGGGTAATGAGTTTATTCCTGTTATGTTTAATTAATAAATATCTTAAAGACTGCTTGACTCCCATCCCTGATACAGTCTATCAGCACAGCCCTCTGGGGCTTCAGCTGACCCTCGGGGCCGAGGCCGGCAGGGCTGGGGGCAGCGGGACTCACAGGAGTGCAGCTTGAACATGAGCTTGACCGTGTAGTGGTAGAGGGGGCTGCAGTCCTGGATGACCTGGATGAGGGGGGCCAGGCGGCACTGGCCTGAGGACATCTGGGACACGGCAATGGCCGTGTTGAGCTGCCGGAAAACTGTAAAAAAATAAAAATAAAAAAGGTGGGGGCGGGAGGAGCCTGAGCACGCGGAGCCGGGAGACGCAGGCGCAGACCCCACTCTGCTTACAGGCATAGTGACGACCACAGTGAGGACAGCGGCTGAGCGCTGGCCCTGACCGTCATCTCACGGCACTGTCGCAGCAACCTAGACAGCTGGGTTTGAAGACGGAGCAATGGCCTGGGTAACTGGCTTTACCAGTCCCAGCCAGGCGGTGGGACCCTACCCCAGGCCCTCGGACACCAACATGCTCCTCGAGGCGAGGAAGGACCCTGTGCACTGAAGCCGCCGAGGACCAAGGCCCAGCGCTCCCACAAACTGGGGTGACACAAGGAGGGGGGCAAAGGAAATGCAGCTCAGCTCGGCCAGCGTCTCTGGACAGCTTCCAGGCAGTGGGCCCAGGACGCAGAGCTGGAGAGACAGGGTGACTTCAACAGCCCTGTACCCATGGGCTTCCAGCTCACTCTGAATCCTAGGGAAGGACGGAGGCCTAAGGCTGTGCAGCCCCAAGGCCTCGTTCTGCAGATGTGGACACAGGCCCGGGCTTGGTCAGTCTCACAGCAGCGGGCTCAGGACGCGGTTCTGCAAACCCCAAGGGACCCCAAAACCTCACTTGCATTCGGGGTCAATCTCCCCTGACCTTGAGAATCAGCCTTTCATCCGACGGACCAAGTAGGAGGGAAAGAGACAGACATACTGCCACCCGCAACGGGCTTGCTCTCTGGGGCAAGGAGAGAAATGAGCACGTGACACCCAGGGCGGCCCACGTGGGACACGGTTCCAGATGGGTGGCCCCCAACCCGGGCCTACTCTCACCTTGCCTGGGGTGGGGCGATCTGCAAACCTCCACAGTGACACAAGGACGCCTGGGAGGGAAGGGACGAGGAGGAAGGCCCCAAGTGCTGTCCCTCACCCGCTTAAAACTTAATTACATGTCACGTCAAGTACATTTTCCTTGTAAACAATTAAAATACACGCAGAATACTATTTTGCATTTGAAAACACAATGCAGCCATTTCTCAGCTGAAGGGCATTCAGGACATTTCCCATTTGCAGCTGTTACAAACCTGGGGCGGGGAACGCCCACTCCCCTCACACTCTCAGGGAGACGCTGGCACCAGGGGTGTGGGCACTGGCTGTGGGCTTTCTCCGCCTCCCATCGTGGCGACTGGGGAGAGGCCCATCTCTGCAGCACAGCTGCCCCCAGACTCACCCAGCCTCAGGGTCCAGCCCCCGGCGCCAGGAGGATGCCCAGGCACCTCTTCCTCATTCCTGGTTTTCCATTAAAAAGGCCTTTGCCTTTCACTCTCCCGTGGAGAGCATTGAGTCACCCACAAGTTGTTCCGAAGCTCCCACTGAAAACACTCATCCCCGCAACCCCAAGAGGGTGATCCCCTGAGATTTCCTGTTCAACAGCTACCGCGCTCCTGGGCTGGGAACTCTGACCTGACTCAGAGGCCTTTGACAGCAGAGAACGGGCAAGAAGGTCGAAACCAACTGCCTCGGGGCAGGCTCAGCTGGGAGGTGGATCGGGAACCTGAAGAGGTGGCTCCTGGCACCCCCGGCAACCCCCCACCCCGCGCCTTGGTGCCAGAGTGGGTTTCCTTCGGCCGGGACTGTTCCCTGGACGTACCGCCTGCCTGGCGTCCTGCAGGGGCGGTAAAGGCCTCTCCCTCCCATGCTCTGGGGGCACCTGGAGGCCCCGTGACCTGCTCCTGGTGGGAGTGTGGTCCCAGGGGGCCGGTGTGTTCAAGAATGGCTGGCCCCCAGAGGCAGCAGGCCCCGGGTCAGCCCCTCGGCTGGCTCACCTGATTCAGAGAGCTTCAGCGCACAGTCCATGTAATCGAACATCTCCACGGTGAGCTGGAAGCTACAGGGGAAGGAGGAGGGAGAGATGAGCGGGAGGGGTGCGGGGCATGGCCCTGCGAGAACCACCAGGCGGGAGGGGGAGCACAGTCCACGCACACGCCCTTGCACGGATGCACAGACGGCAGTCCTTCAGCCAAAATGCCCCGCTCCAAGTAAGCCCCGTCCCTTTAGCCTTAGCCACAGCTCCTGGGCACATGACGACCTCCAGCCCCAGACAGAGCACGGCCCCCGGTGGGAACCTGGGTGAGGAACGCCGCAGGAACAGACGGGAAACCGGGGGACTCACACGTTGTTGACGTCGGTCCCAGCGGCCTTCTCCAACACCTCGTCTGTCACCTCCAGGCCCGCAGGGAACTCGGGGTGCTGCGGAGAGGACACCCCCACTCAACCGCAGCCCCTCTCAGCTCTGGCCCAGCACCGCTTCTAGCTTTTGAGGGAGGGAAGGGGCTGGAAAAGCCCCCTAGCCTGTGGAGCCACCATCTGCCCCGGGCAGTGACTCCAGAGACCAAGACACAGAGGATGGGACGTCCACCTGGAGCTGAGGGCGGGGCTAAGACCACCTCCCGCGCCGGGAAACGCCTCCGGGCCTTCTGACTTCCCTGCCATCTGTCCCAAGCTCCCCCTTGGGCCAGGTGGGGACAGGACAGATCCCACCCTCTGAGACATCTTGGAGGGAAGAGCCCAGGGTCCCACCAGCCCCACGATTCCCCCGAGGAAACTACCTTGAGGTGGAAGGAGATCTTGGTCAGCAAGAGTTTGGTGTAAATATTCACCAGCTGCCCATATCGGTCATGCAAATGGCCCTGTGGAGAAAGGGCCCTGGGTAAGGACACACTGCCCATGAGCTTGCCCAGGAACCCCGCATGGCAAACAAGGAAGGCGAGGCCGGAAGATGCAAGATGATGAGCAGGGTGTCAATCCTTCAGCCTCCCATGCTGTCACTTATTCATTCAACCACCATTGCTCAACCCACCAGAGGTGGCCAACCTCCTTTCCCAAGGGCCTCTGCCAGCCCCCTCTCTGCCTATCGGTCTCTTCTTCTCACTCTTGCCAGAGAGACGCTCGGGACAAGAGAGCTCCTCGTCCAGGGCAAGAGGCCAATTCTGAGGTGGGACACTCTATTGAAATGCTGGTGGGGGCTGGGGAGGTACGTTCCGACGGGCGCGTGAACACATCCTCCTCGCAGCCGCCTCCAGACACCACGTCCCCTGCGGCCACGCCTGCTGGGCCCACATCTGCAGATGGCACCAGGGACGCCACCTTCCTTACTTCAAGGGGCGTCCCCTCTGCAAGCCGGTCAGTTCCCAGAGGCCACCTGGCCCCCGCCCCGGCTGCTGGGGCCCCAGCAGTGCTCCCAGAGGGCAGATAAGGCCAGAAGCCCTCTCTCCACCCAGGGGATGCCCCTAATTCCTGAGGGTCGTGGAGTGGATCTAGAATACAAGCTCCTGGGGCTCTGAGACTTCACTGTGGATGAGACACTTCTGGAGAGCCTGCTGAAAATGCAGACTTCCAAGATTCAGAAGCTGCCGGTCTTGGGGGCTCAGAGTCTGCACCACTTACCCAGACTCAGGGTGGGGTAGTGAACTCACAGGGACTGAAGGGCTGCTGATTTCTGGAGCCGGAGGGCCCGTTAGGGATGTGTTTGGGACTTCTGCGCCAGGGCTTAAAAGCAAGGCTCAATTTCATTTACTGATGCTCATCACCCGCCGCCATGGCCCCATTGAACACGGCTCTAACTGTGCTGGGAGGAGGAGGCGGGGGGCACCACTGCAGGTGCTCTGTTCCCCCCTCGGGCCTGTGTGCCAAGCAGGATGGCAGTGGACTTTCCGAGTGTTGTTGCTGGCGAGGCGCTAAGGCCACCATGCCCGCTCCCTGCACCTACCCACAAGTCTCCGATCTCCCGGATGTTGCTCCGGTACCGCTGGCAGTCGTGCAGCACCTGCCCAGAGGGGGAGACGAGGAGGGAGGATGAAGGAGCCAGAGCCTTCGTCGGCGGGGCGGGGGGGGCGGTCCCGACACTTGCTCCCATGTACGGGGTGCAGGCAGCAGGCAGGGTGGGCCAACCCGGAGCTGAGGGACACAGACGCCGGGACAGCCCTCATTTCAAAGGATGCGGCTCTGGGCCTCCCTGGGGTGTTCAAGAGGCGGCAGACGGAGGGCCCAGGCCCCCGGAACAGTGGCTACTCACGTTGGGGTGCCCATCTCGAAGGACCTTGTGGAGGACGTGGCAGAACTTCCAGCTGAGGATGGAGCTGCTAGGAAGCGGCAGCCCGATGGCATAGGACCAGAAGGTGAAGGCCCCCTTCTCGTGGTGAGTGCCCAGGATGATGCCTACCAGGGTCAAGGCCAAGTGCAGGCAGCAGGGACTCAAGCGTGGGGGAGGTCGGGTGCTCAGCAGGTGCAGCTGAACTGAGCGCAGAGAGGCGGGTGGAAGGCCGCCCTCCCCCTCCCCACACCCCTCCCTCCCGGTAGGCCACAGCTCACCAAGAGCTACGGCTCTCAGCCAAGCAAGAGAAAGGGCGAGGTCACGCCCCACGGATTCAGCTGGGCCCAGGGCCTAAGACAATAGGGGCCTTCCTGAGATGGGACTCAGAGTCTTGAAGGAGCTGAGCGAGGCTGGCCCAAGGCCACAGGGGACGCCCCTCATCAGGCCATCTGGCGCGCCCACTGCTCCCCTAATTCACTTCCCCCACGTCCTCTTCACCCTCCCCGCCTCCCCTGGGGCCCAGAGGGACGGAGGCCGCTGGCAGCAGGGAGGATACGCCGGGCATGCTTCTCCTTCACAGGGGCCTCCTGGGTGTTGATGGCTTTGCTGATGCTGATGGCCTGGGAGGGAACAGAGGAGGCAGAGGTCAGAAACCCACCCGGCAGGCTTCCTGGGAGAGACCACCCAAAGGGGGAAGGGGCGACACACAGACAGGACCGATCCTTCCAGCCGGTTAAAGGCGAGAGTAGAGATAAGGGAAAAATAGAAATTCTCTATCCTAAGCAAACCAGACCACTCAAGGCCCTTCTTCACGTGACATGTGCAGCTCAAACTACAGCTAAGACCCGATGCCACAAGCACACAGAGCTTCCAGAGGCCTGGGAGGTAAGGACGAAAGCCGGCTTGTGCTGCAGGAGAGCAACTCTGATCTGAAAGCTGCGTGTGATTCCTTTTCCCCAGAAGGCGTAGCCCCTGGGCCCCAGGGGAGCCGCCAGTCCCCGCAGGACATCCTCCATCAGGTCTCTCCTCTGGGAGAGGCTGCTGTGGCCTGAGCCCTCTTGCACTCCACCAAAACATGCACGTCACCCCTACTTTACCACGGGGCACGGCCTGGAGACATGAGGCCTCACAGCCACTTTGTGGAAAACCAGGATAAACCAGGTCCCATCGCCTGTCCACATGCATCCTGGACGAATCCTGACTCAGCTCCCACCCCCACCGACACAAACAGCGACTGCAGCCCCACCAGGGGTGGCAGGAAGGGGGACCCGCTTAGCACACATGCTGCTACCACTCAGGCCCTGAGCAAGCGGCAAACTCATCCTCGATGCACGTCCCCTC